ATCATAAATAGTCTGTCCTAAATCGCATGAGTAAAGATATCTTTACATTGGTTATCTCCGACATATGTGACCAGAACAATATCTAATATAAGTTGTCATCACACCAAATTTTTCGTCAGTAACCAATCTATACACAATGGATAAACAGGATCAAATGCCAACTAACCTGTTTGACGAAAGTATTCATCAGTAATATATCTCGGTTAATTTTTTGGACTCCACAAATTGTAACCAGTTCAACTTCAACGAGGAACTTAAGTTTGTTTGATTGTTGTTGTCAATTACAATCACCAAAATTAAAAACCTTGGTAGGGTATCCTTTTAAATCTCTACCAAACTACCAATTTTCCATCCTAATTGTCAATAACAAATCTTCTAACTTTGTTCCCTAATTTCGTGAACAAGCTCCATGATCAAAGCGCAGAGCTTTGAAACCACTTATTGGGACAAAAAAAAAAAAAACAAAAGCACACAACGGAAACAATTTTGATACATATAAAAATATGTGGGAGAAGAGGAGTTTATTATTAATCACACAAACAACAAGTACACCCGACTTTCATATTAAGGCTGGCATAAATCTAGGCAAAATTGCCTTTACAAACACCTGTCCTCTCATTTTTCTCAGCCGATTACAATACTAAAACACCTTATATGTAGTACATAAGACTTTGGAAATTAAAAAACTACTAAAACACCAAACTACCAAACAGTTACTCTTACGTTAACCAAGTAAACTACTAAAATATCACTAGACTTGAGCATCTAATTTAGAAATAGGAAACAATAACTATTAAGAAGACCCTCTTTTGGATGGCTTTATCTACAAACAACCACCATACCAATCTTAACGTACCAAAATTCAGGTTTTAGAAATACTGTTCCTTTTCTTCTCCTTCTCTCTTCCTTCTCTTTGAAAAAAACTCTTTAACTAAAACTTCCTTCAACTCTCCCATAGAAAAGATTAGATTTTTCTGATCTTTTCTCATGGGAGGAGCCCTCTCTATAGTTTTTTTTTATTTGTGTGAATAAAATCTCTCTTAAGATTTTCTAGTGCTTCCCTCCTTAGGATTGTCTATGCGAGTATTCTTCTCTCCTAAATTTTTTAGTGAGAGTTTTATTCTCTCTTAGGGATTCTTAGTGAGAGTTTTTTATAATCTTTTCATTTATCTTTTATTAGATTTGAGTTTTTTCCAGATTTTGATTATCAGATTTGAAATTTTTTGGATCTATTTAGCAGATCTCACCATAATATCTGGGCTTGAAGCACTTAATCAGCAAATCTGCGCGAGTGGAAGCATGCACAGATGTTTGTGGAGTTACAATTTTTTTATCTTATTTTTTAAATTTGGAGCTTTACAATATAATTTTTATTGTTCTTCAGATTTGGAATATCCTTTCTTCAGATATGTTTTTTGATATCTGTATATGTTTGATGATGCAATTTCTGTCATTAGTGTACATTTTAATGAAATTATGATATTTTATCAAAAAAAAAAACCTTAAAGTAGATTCAATTCTTTTGATGTAGATTACAAATCAAAACAATGTGACTTTATCCACCAATATTCCAACTATAAAATAAAGTTGTCCTTCCTTTAATTAGAGCTTGTCTGGATGTCGTTGTTTGTCACCCTCATTTGATTCCACCAACTTGGCCAATGCAATAGACATTATATAAATCATCAACCGCTATTATTTGATAGGCGTATTGCTATTTCTACCCCTTGATGGTTTCTGCTAGCCACATGATTCCGCCACATTAGCCCCAATTTTTTTTTTTCTTTTTTTCCAAATAATCAGTAGTCAGTGATGTTTAGGGCTGTTCATATACACCTCAGATTAATCTACGTGCTTAATTCATCAAGCCTTGCCATATTGGTATGATCAATTATATAACATGCTTCAATTTAGATTAGCAAAAGGAACTTATCTTTGCATAATATGCATTGCAATCATTCATGACCTGAATGTGAATGATTCGAATTATTCATCCCAAGTCTTTTTTGTGAATCATTTCTAGGGAGTGCCAAAAGATATTTGACTAGAAATATTCTTGTCGTTACTTTCACTCATATTCGACAAAAAAGTCGATTCTAGTTCCAAGTATGTGCATTATTTTTTTACTTTACTCCTTGCGAGCTGAGCAATTCCCTAACACAATTAGCCAACAATTTAAAAGGTACATGAAAGAAAATTATTTCACACGAGATGGTGGGTGGCGAATCCAATAAAATAAAATTTCTTACTCAACAAAAATACAAATTTATAAGTAGCAGTGAGTAAGGTCGTATTTATAGGGATTAGTGAATTTATTTTCTTCACAAAATCAGGAATTAAGAGGGAAGTTTTGAGAAACTACACCACACAATAATATAAAAGAAATTAATAATGAAAAATGAAGTAAAACTAAATCAATGAAAACAATCCTTCTAGCCAAAGGAGTAATTTCACCTTTTGATTTAATCAATTGATTGTCGATGCAAAAATCAATTTATATATTCACAAATAAATTGGTTATGATAGTCAATAAGGTCTGATTCTTTGCCTTTCTTTACTTTCTCGATAATTGAAACAAACTCTTTAATTACTTCTCTTGCCAACAGACAATTGTAAACAAGCTTTTAGCATTTAATCTACCGACAACATTAAGGTTAGAAAAGTCATGGATTCTAACCAACAAACTCATGATTTTGTTCATTTAGATTGGATTGTACATTTTCCCGACACAAAACCAACTATGCCAATTGTTACAAATATTAAAATTATCAAACAATTATGGAATTGACATTTTAATTGGCATTAGATCATCTAGTTAATTAAATATCGAACCATTGATATTAAACAACATAACCATGAGCAGTTAATTTAGGAAATATAAAAATATTCATGAATCTACAAAATAGTAAGAATAAATTCTTTCTCACAATTTTTTCTGAACCAAAGCATTAATTATCCTTCAACTAGAAACCAGTTAAGAAAAATAAAAATAGAGCTAGAGTTTTTGTTCTCGAGAAGAGAGAGAAAGTAGATAAGATAGTTGTTGAAGAAGTTTTATAAAAAACATAAGAACATGTTTAAAACTCCTAAACATTATACTTCACATAAACAGAATCAATCGTGGCCTCCATGATTCTTCAAGAGATAAACCTCTCATAACCCTTGAAATTTCCTTACCAAATGTGCCACGTTCTTTTTCAACAAATCTTCTGAAATTTTCTCTTTTAAACTTAGTTTAATCATGAATCCTGAATTCAACACAAAAAAAAAAATTATGAGAAGAATCAGTGAATTAGCATCTTGCCAAAATTAAGAACCCTAAATTCAACACAAAAGACAAAGTATGAGAAGGATCAGTGAATTAGCATAATAATTTTCCAAAATTAAGAAAAGAAAAGTCCAAAGAAAACACCTATTAAATTCACTATCAGGAGAAGAGGACAGTCTTCCAGTCGTCTTAAAATTTCCTGAATATTGAAAACAACCACTGAGAATGCAGTAACATTTAGCAGCTGGACGAGCCAGCAGTTTATCTCTAAAGCCAAAAGAAATTAATATTATCATGTGACAGAAGCAAGCATGTGCAATTTATATTCTGTTTCTTCAAAGTTCCAAAACTATTAAAATTGTCTCCTACTGGTTATATTATCCCTTTGGCCAAACGCCCTTTCATATGCAACACTTGTTTTAGGCATTTCACTGTTCTCAACTTCGTGATTTGACCATCTCTTTTTCATTAGTCTAATTTGTCTCAACTTTTTTGTGCACGTCATGTTGATATCACCTTTCTCCGTACCTATCAACTAGGAGCACTAAATATTTTTCTAGAATGTTAACAAAACATGCTAGAAGGCCAGTCGTCACCATGGTATATTTCTTTTTAGCAAGACTAATAGATTTCTCAAGTACACACAAGAGAGGGGGGTGGGGTGAGGCGTGGAGGTGGGGGTGGGTGAGGGGACTAAAAGGGAATAAGTTTGTTTGGATTGTAAGTTATTTGGAATATTTTTATTATAGCATTTTTTGTGATGTGATGTATGTGAGATAAAAAGATAATTGAAAAGATAAAAAAGTGTATTGAAAATTGTAATGATAATGTAAGTAAATAAAATTTGAGAAATAATGCTCAATCCAAACAAATAGCTGTAAGGAAGCACCAAAACTGGCCATGAAAACACTCTATATGGTACTGGTTTAAGAAGAGGGCAGAGTGCATTTATAAAGTTGGAGAGGAGAGCCACGAGGGATTTCAGGCACAAAAAACCCTATCGGAAAGCATCAATAAGCGCAATGGAAGTATGTTGTATACACTGAACTCTAATCCCTTATGTGCCATCAAGCCATCTTGTTCGTAACTGGTATAGGTAATAATTAATGTCAGAAACTCAAACTTTGTCCTTGTCTTTTCACCTTTATTTCTTGCCTCAAAATAATATGAACCATGGTCCTGCGTCCATTTTCTTTGCTTTTAGCCTTACATATTCCAGCAAAACTTTCTGAACTTTAGTGCAATCTTTCTTTTGACATACAATAATTAGGCAACCATGTGAAAGTTTTTGGACTCCGTAGCACTGTTTGAGGTCAAGGTTGAAAGGAAAACACTAATGATTGTTATTGAGCAGTGTTGGGGAGATGTGATGGTCCTGCTTTACTGCAATACCACATTTTGATTTTGGATGGACAAAATTTATGAATATTGGCCGTCATATTTAACATGTGCCCTGGATATCTGTCTATGAAAAATTTGAGCTAAATATTCCCACTTGTTCTTTTCTCCTAAACAATCCCTACCTATGACTTTTGAGCTTTGGATCCATTTGTCAAGTTCTATAGTGAATTGCGCTGTTTACGATGCCATTGAAATAATTGCCCATGGATGACTCACATCAGCCATGTCTATATTGTTTCCTGCCATTTCAGCTCTCAAGCAGAAATGTTCCTGCTGGCCACGTGATTGCCTTGCCGGCTAGTGCATATTGATAATGTAGATTTGCTGTTCTAGCGATCTATTTGCTTCCATCAAATTTTGTTGTTATCTTTACTGAGATTCCATCACACGTTCTTATGCAGGAGAGGGATGCTAGTATTTTCTTCTCTTGTAAGGTCCATTTCTCTGTCACCCTCTCTTTTATTGCGGTCCTCCTAGTCAAATTCGCAAGAATGATTGAATTTTGAGCCTGCCAGCTTGCACATGTACTAATCCAACTATCTTATTTACAATAATCTCGTATCATAAATATAGTGTCTACCAGCCTCCAGATTTCAAGTCCCAATTCCTCATGGCAATCCCTTCATTGACCCAAAACTCTTCTTCCTACATTGAAGGCGGTGATGAACAAACATTGTTTAACAAAGAAAAAGAAGATGGCAGTGATCAAATTCTCTCTGTGCTCCCTAGAGAAAGAGGGTGGTTAAGTGAGCACATTCACTTGTACCAAGGTTTTTGGTATTCCACGGGAGTTCTCAAGGGACTCCTAATTCTCCAGAAACATTTTTGGGCAAAACCAAGTGACATCCTCTTGGCCACATATCCAAAATCGGGAACAACCTGGCTAAAGGCACTCCTTTTCACCATAACAAATCGTACATGTATCAGTCATCCCAATCAAAATCCTTTGCTAACGGCAAACCCTCATGAACTGGTTCCCATGCTGGAATCATATGCCGCCGCGAATCCTGTAAACCCAAAGCCACCCAATTCTCTCATGCACACTCACATTCCTTACACCTCTTTACCAGAATCGACAAAATCTTCAGGCTGCCATATTGTCTATGTTTATCGAGACCCGAAGGATGTGTTAGTGTCATGTTGGCACTTTGTAAACATGCTGAAACCTGAAGCAGTGCCACGAATTTCATTAGCAGAGGCATTTGAAAAGTTCTCTAAGGGTGTTTCACCATATGGACCATACTGGAATCATGTGTTGGGGTATTGGAAAGCAAGTATAGAATGGCCTGAAAGAGTATTCTTTATTAGATATGAAGACTTGAAGAAAGAGCCTTGTTTCCATACAAAGAGATTAGCAGAATTCTTGGGGATGCCTTTCACAACGGACAAAGAAGGTGAAAGCCTGGTAAGTAAAGTGGTAGAGTTCTGTAGTTTTAAGAATCTGAGCAATCTCGATGTGAATAAAACAGGATCACACTCAGGGTTCGGGTTTCCGGTCATAGAAAACAAGATCTTTTTCAGGGAAGGTCGGGTTGGTGATTCCCAAAACTATCTTGAAAGAGAAATGATGGATCATTTGGATCAAGTTACTGAAGAAAAATTTAAGAAATTTCATTTGAAGACATTTTCTCAGGAGGATGATGAGAAGTCAGAGGTACCTATTGCCCTGTGATTTTAGAAAGGGAAAACTGTGCATGCACGTGATTGTCCAGTGCCACTATCTCCTGTTGCAGCTACTGGAACGCGAGAAGGTGGTTGTGGAACGTGAAAATCATTTCCAATTAGGATAAGAGCAGAGCTGTTGACAAAATAAATCAAGTGAGAAGAACCTATTTATTTATTTACTAGTTTTATTGATGCAGGTTTTTAGCAGCTGTGTTATTTAGGAGTTTGTGTTGTATTTAATAATTTCTTATGCAAGTGATTTTTTATTTTACAAGTCTCACTGAGTTGGATTTTTTTTAAGAAAGTCCAAAAACATTGGTAAGATTTTATTATGGTGTGATTTTGTTCCATTATGTGAGATTTCAATAATAGTACGTATTATTTATTTTCTTCTCTTTTTCATAAATATTTTGAGTGATTATTTTATCTCTTCAGTATGCATTAATTATTACTAAAACCCGAAATTTTGATTATACAATTAGTATCAAAGCCAAACTACGAGTTTAGTTCTAAGCGTTTCCATTGTTAGAAAATTAAGGCACATGGTTTGCCAAAAAAATATTTAGTTGATTGAGTTAGGCATGAGGTTGGTCCTGAAATATGTAGTTGGTAAAGAATTCGACCATAAGATTGATCTAGGAATCATCAAATTGCTATAGATGTCATGACAGAAATTAGAGAAGAATTGGTTGTCAGATTGAAGTATTTGATTGGTTAATTATCAAGAAAAACCAAGAAAACTAGACAGAAGAGAAAAAAAAAATTATTTAGGCATATGAATTGTTAAATAACAGCTGAAGTTTTTAAAAATTTGGTTGATGATGAAAAGTTTTCTATATCGGCTCCTATAAGCACAAATAGACATACATATTTTAGTTAAATTTTAAAGGTGAAAAAAATATGTGGAGTCAATTGATAATGTGAAGTTTATTTTACTAATTATGGTAGTGGAATTTTTGAATTATTTGGAGGTGATAATTTTGGCAAGAAAGCAATCTATGATTTTCTATGTTTTGGCACTTATATTGATGGTAAATATGGTGACTTTGAAGATGATTGAAAACTTTGATCAAGAAAAAATTGCTAAGAAAGAAATTATTTACGAAATACAAAGTTGATAAAATAAACCAAGTCTGGAAGAACCCATTTATTTATTTACTAGATTTATTGGAGTAAGGTTTTTAGTAGTTATGTTATTTAGGAGTTTGTGTTTTATTTGGTAATTTCTTATGCAAGTGATTTTTTATTTTACATGTCTCAATAAGTTATAAATAGGACATTAGTTGAGGTATTTTCTTAAGAGAATCCAAAAGGGTTGATAAGGTTTTATTGTCGTGTGATTTTCTCGCATTGTTTGAGATTTTAATAATAGCGTGTACTGTTTATTTTCTTTTCTTCCACCTAAATATTTTGAGTGATTATTTTATCCCTTCAAATCTAAAATCCTGAATGTACTAATTATTATTAGAACCCTAAATTTAGGTTCTACAAAAGCTATTAGCAAACTATAAAGAGATTTGAAGTGTCAAAAACTTGCTCATCAAGGTGTCAGGTGTTTGAGTTTATTTTCAAGAGTATCAAGGGTATTGGTCAATGATCTGAATGATTTTAGTAAAAGAGTATTCTAAACGAACATGTGTCAATTTGTATTATCCTGTCATCTCATCTCCCTTTCTCCATCGATCGTTGTCCTTAATCAAAACAATAGACTCAAATGCTTTGATGAGTAGCATATGAACTGAAACAAACAGTATCTAGCAGGGTTAATTGCAACATGCACCCTAATTTTTACCACCTAAACTATGATTTTTAGCGTCCTAAACAAGAAGGGTGGATAAGGCATTTCAGAATCCAGAGTTATCGGAGAAACTTGAACCAGTCCCTTCTTCCCCCCGATGATACTTCTAGCATGGTTTCGGTGTACTAATTACAATATCACCTTGTCATTGTTCCTTCTAGGAAACAAGGTTGTATTCCTTTTTTGGTTGAGGCAGATATTTTGAGATGGGATTATGATTCAAAGAGGTTCCAGATACACCTTTTGTTATTTCATTGATGAGGAAAAATAAAATGTTTTGAAAATGGCATGGCTGTCTACAGAATTAGAGAGAACATTGGGAGCAAATTAACTTTTTGGCTTCTAGGACAGCTACAGAAAAGAAAGTCGAATTATAACATTGTTTTGTGTTTCTAATTTTTGTATTATAATTATATATAAGTTTTGCTATACTAAGTGCTAACTTTTGTATAATATATGTTTATAATTATAACATAATATACAACTAACTTAATAAAATTTATTATTGTATTGTTATATAATATAATTATTAGTTAGATTTATTATTATATAATATAAATTTTATATTAAACACACATATATAGAACATACGAATTTGAAATCGAAATAGGTATTCAATTTTTGATTTGAGAAAATTCACTACTAAATTCGAACCAAATTCATATAGTTCGAAAACGAAAAACTCGATTTCTATTCCATTTTCTGATTTATCGATTTCAAAAATTTTGATTTCAATTTAAATTCGATTCGATAAATCGAAACTTTACGATGTTGCACACTGGTATAGGTAATAATTAATGTTTCAGAGACGCAAACTTTTTCCCTGTCTTTTCACCTTCATCTCTTGCCTCAGTGCTCCAATGAAAATAATATGGACCGTGGTCCCGAGTCCATTTTCTTTGCTTTTGGCCTTAAATATTGCAGTACAAGTGTACAACTCTCCGAAATTTAGCGCAATCTTTCTTTTGATATACTAGTAGGGGTGGGTTGTGCCACGCACAGCTAGTTTTCATTGGGATGTACTCATTGGTCGTAAACAATTTGGGAATCCGAGATGCAGAATAATGAGCTGGAAGGTACAAAAATAAAGCATTAAACGTTCATCCAAAGAAGCATATTACAAAGCCAACAAATAATTGAATAACTAAATAAAAGAGCAATGCAGGCAAGAGTTCACCAAGCAATAGGAAAAGGAGATGCTGCACACTTTGTGTTCCTTGTTTAATGGAAAGAGAAAAATGCAGTTTTAATCCCCGAATTTTGGATAAAAATAAATTTGGTACCCAAACTTTCAATATTTGAGCACATTTAGTACTCTTACTGATTTTTTTTCCAAATTGCTAGTTGAAAGAGTCGCATAATAATCATATGTTAGGCAAATATTGTATAAAAAAATATCACAAAAACGTAAAATATCTTTCTGCCACTAAGGTGAAGATGAAATACAACAAAAGAAGGAGAAAAGGAATAAGACGAGTAGAGTTGGGTAAGTGATTAAAGTTTTTAAAATATCTTTCTTGGTACTTAGTATCAGAATGATATTTTACATTTCATTGGCATTTTTTTTATGCCATAGTTGTCGGACATGCGACTATCACATGATTCTTTCTAGTAACATTTTGGAAAAAAATTGTCAAGGGTAATAAATGTGCTCAAATATTAAAAGTTTGGGTATCAGATTTGTTTTTGTCCAAAATTTGGGGATTAAAATTACTTATGTGTCAAAATTTGGGTACCAAAACTATATTTTTCTCTTTATGGAAATGACCAACAAGGAAGCTATGAGAATAGACAAAATGAATAAAAGCTTTTGAGCTTTAATCGGCTTCGTCAAATGTAGCCCTCTTGTTTACTGTTATAAAAAATTTCGTCTAAAAAACTAGTCAATGGTGGTAAGTAAACCACTCTATTGATTCATGGTCCAATCTAATGGTGAATATATGATAAAAGTACAAAAAATAATTGATCAAGTGGTTGAAATTTATACAAAGAACAACCTAACTCTTAGCAAATAGTAAACATCCAATCATAGCAGGTCATTGAAGGAAGTAAAATAGTGACCTATGACTTGTATAGATTGTTTGAGCGATCTAATGGTTACAAAAGGAAAGTAATTAACCAATGCAAATCCAGTAGCCCAAAGTTAAGCAAGATATCAAAATTATTTTAAAAAAGTGAAAAATCTCAAATAAATTAAAACCTTAAAATTTGCTTTGTGATTAAATACGGATTAGCTACAAATGATAATTCTTTGACTGTTTCATTTTAATTTTATAAAATAGATTATATACATCTTCCCTAGCACACACTTGTAGTCTTATTGCAAAAAATCATTTTTTCATATTCCTTTTTAAATATCAATTAGAGATATGATTTATACATCTTAATATTTTTTCCCACACTATAAAAATATAAGTTTTAACATATTTTCCAATAAATCCTAGACAAATAAAAACCTAAGAAATTACTTTCTAAACACATAAGGCTCGTAACTGGCATATTTGTTTTTATTTTTGTGCCATCAATTAAATCATCTCTTATGAAAAATTTATCAATTTTTCATATCTCTTCCTGCCACTAATCCAAGGAATAAGGAGAGTGTCTATAAAATTAAATAAAGGCGATGCACTTATATATGCTTTGTAAATAATTAACCTAGCATTTGAAACCCTTCTCATGATGTTTATACTCTCATTAGAAAAAAAAATATCAATTTTGGTATTTATTTTCCCTTAAAGTATAAATAATTTAAAAATCTATAAAAAGAATAAATAAGGTTGCATTCTTAATATTAACCTTGCATTTTAACGCTCAGGTAAGGACAAAAATATTAACTTTGCATTTGAATGCTCAGGTAAGTACAAAGCATCTAGGTAGAGAATCTAATGACTTAGAATAATTATTTCCCAACTTTATTTTCACAAGAAAATGATCAGTTTTTCAATAGATTAAATTCGCTCATATTTAGCATTGTCATCATTTAAAAATTATTGGCAACTTAAGCATGCTAATTTCAAAACTCTAGCTTCAAAATAGAGTTTTAACATCTACAAGAGTACAAGGAAGAAAAGAGCAGGGACAAAAAATTATTAGAAGTACGAAGAATTTTTTGTCAGTATTGTAGAGTAGGCAATTAAATAGCAAGAAAAATAGTAAAATAGTCAAAGCTACAGAAGTAAAGCTAAAATTGAATCACAAGCACAATACATACAAATTATTAAATATAATTCAACAATCAAATTTGACAATCAAAATTAAGGTTCAAATTATTAGTTAATAAAAGCTTTGCTAAAAGAAGAGCACAAGCATTTGAACTCAACAAATAGCCCTATAGATTCCCAATAAGAAGTGTAAAGGACCAATATCAAGTTACTCTTCTGTTACTTATTTCTCCAATTAGCAGCAAAAATAAAACAAAATATTTTTGAATAACT